AAAATGACATGTACAGCAAAACATAATTCTATATAATAACAGTACAAAAGGAGCATATCGCGTACCAAAGTATACGTGGTCTGGATTGAATTCAAATGTAACAACTCAGATTAAAATACATATGTACTTTCGCCGCCTATTCCATGTCGGTATCGATCTCCCGATGTAGTTTGCTTCAATCTGATCGTACGTCAAGCAACAATTCAAACACCAGTGTAAATACCGCCATTATGGTTCACTAAGGTTACCCTATTCACCGTTCCTACGGAAATTTATATTATATAGATTAATATGTATAATTTATCCATATAAATCATATAGAAATTTGTACAATCAATAAGAATTTCTGATTTAATATTTTAGTTACATTAATTATGGAGGAAACGCTTCAATGCGTTCACGAAGCGAGATTTTAATCAGAAATGATCGATCGATCTGTACGTAATATCAGACTCATTCTATATTTATATATTCACGAAAATTTTTTGGCGAGGAGTAATTAATTCATCCACAAATTTTTCACATTACTCGAAATGGATGTTTCACCGAATAGTAACTGGTATTTTCGCTGCGTGCCACGCACAGATTAACAAAAAGAAAAACGTAATGCAATTATATCTAATACATTTCGCCGCACGGAGTATTTACGACCATTCAAATGCAATCAACGGTATCACGGAATACGAATAATAATGCACGTTCGTGAGGTATAATGAGCGGGTGGTGTGTTCGTTAGCGGTATCCGTTACAATGGAGTCTTCGACGAAAATAAAAGCACAACCCCGGTCTCACGCAAAACACGAAATAAAGGGAGACGCCCGTGTTTTCCAATTTAGCATAGCGAATGATATATGGAGTAATCGGAGTCCGCAAATTCGAGGGCGTGTACCTGTATATCAGAACAAGGAGAGACTTAATAGAAGCACAGTGCATACGTATGTACACGTGGCGTGTTAATACATAGTAATTCGTATAAGAAAAGAAATATGTAGATATATTAAAATAATATATATATACTGAAAATCTACCACTAATATTGTAGCAGTTGTACAATAAATGATTTAAATTTATTTTTCATTATTTCAATATCGACAATGTAAAATATGATTTTGTAATGATGTATAATATTTGCAGAATATAAAACGTTGTACAGGCAGAGGGTGATTTAGTAATTGGGCCGGGCTATAACTCTGTTCAATTGCACTGTTTTCCAATTAAACACAACTTCAACAGCTTTACGTTATAAAACTGTAAGTGTGCCAGTACTTTTGTTTCTGTGAAAATCGGTTACGATACATATTTTTCTATGTTTTTTATAATTATACAGTTCTTTAATATTCATCTTCTTGTTGTGCGCTTAATTTATAGACTTAAAACTTAATTTTAGAAGTAGAGTAAATAAAACATGGTATTTTGTTCCAATCTGGAATAAATTTGGAACTTCCAGATTTACCCACGATTCTGTGATAAAATGTTATCTGTGCCAATACTCCTGTTCGTCACTGTATGTATGTATGTACATAGATATAGCCTACAATAGGGGACAAAAAAGTTACTACTTCTCTGATTTTGGTTATATTTATTTCTTAACATCAACTTATAACCTAAATTACTGGACTTCGTAGAGCTTTTAATTCTCTATCAAAATCAGACTGTATTAAGTCACACTTTTCGAATTTTAGAGGAGAGTAAATTAAAGGTGAAAAAACGTTCAATTAACTTTTATTCATTTCAAGTTCTTAATTATCAAATATTCAAAATCCCAATTCGCATTAGGGTAGTGTTTACATGCATCGAGCTGTGGTGTGGTGTGTGAGGGTTAAACAAATACTTAAGTTTCATGCTGACGTTACAAGATAATAAAAATAAAATAAATGGAAAAAGGATACCATTTTCTCCGCTGCAGTATGTAACTCGTATAACACGAAACGTATCCCCCAGCTAATATGAGGGTCTTCTGTACTATATTTCAATACTATGTTGCCTTTTCATATCATTTCAAAATACTTTCAAAACAATTTCATCATAAATGATCATTTCTATAACTAATTCAGATTTTTATAACTACATTATTCGTGACACGACAGAATTATTCTCGTCGAGCCGATCGGCCAAATAAAAAGAGCATTTTTTTTAATGACAAGAGATTTAATTTCCACGAGGGTTTCATTCATCCAGCACGGTTGAAAATCGCTGCGTCCGATTGCTCGCCGGTTCCAATTGTTCCCCTCCGTTCCTTTTAATTATCAGTTGCGAAACGGTCGCGCGAACCAGGGGTTTCGTTGTAACGTTTTCGTCGCCTCGTGTGATTTGTTAACGAGAAATTTTAACGGGGTCCGGAGCACGGGACTCGTTCGACAAATTTCGCGCGACGTTCCCGACGGATTCAATTATTAAGACGGGAAACGCGCGACGGTCTTGTTAACGCCAGGGCCACGGCGATCGAATTTAGAGTGGAAACATTTCTGGCTAGCAATTAGCCGGAATTCGCGTGTTTAGCGACAGACTATACGTGTAAAGTTTAACGTGCACCCCCCGCCTCGAAATGGAAATTAATTGGATCATCGGTATGTAGGATTGAATGCGTGCTCAAAGTGTTCCGGAGTTCTCTCTGTATGGATTCGTAATTATAATACGCGAGTTAATGGGGTATTGATTTATAGCTGGCATCGCCGCACGTGTAGGTGAATGCAAATAAAATTCTCTGAACGTAATATTACTTATTGTTGTCGCATGACTAATTTTCCATAATAACAATAGTACCAAAAGGGGACTAAGTAAGATACAGAAATTGCATCAACTAGATACAATTCGAAACAATTGAAAGCATTACATCGGAGGTAGTAGCAATAAATAGTCACACATTTCTGCAAACATTTTAAAAATCGCAAAAAACGCATTGTTACTTTAAAATAAACTTTTATTTTATCAACGTTGAAACAAAAGAACGTACAACACAATTCATTAATATAAAATATCACAACCTTTATCACGACTAAATATTCTATTAATGAGTTTTATTCTATATTAATTTTGAATGCTGTATAATTAATTTTTCTATGAAATTTGTTTAATCCTGTTAAAATATTCTATTTCATGACGCATTCAACAATCAAGTCGTCCAATCATAACATTAATAAATGATTTCAGAAAGAAGCAAACACCATTCACTGTCTAAGTAATCTTTATATAAAAAATAAAAGCGCACCGAAACAAAATAGAAGATATCGACAAGATTAAAATCTTTTCGAAACGTCGCACAAAACATTAATCACATAATTAAGAAATAAATACACTATGGAACTTTATGCAAATTCACACCTTTGCAGTCTACTTTAAAGAAACTGAAAATTAAACAGAAATATTTCATCAAAGGTTTCTTCCAAATAACAAAAATCTTCAATTAAAAATTTCATTATGTTCAAAATAAAGCAAAAATTTTACTAAAAGTTTTACAGTTTTATAATTTAATGAAGCCATAAAATTCCCAGTCTGATAAGAAACAACGAATTCGTTTGTTCCAAACAAAATCATTGAAAATAACGTCCTGACTGTTCACAGGATGGTAAAGATTCAAAATAGAACACGTAAATCTCCCGGAAGCGTACAAAGACTGGAGCAAGGAATAGGAAAAAGACAAAGCAACCTAAAGAACCATTTTCCGAATCAGAGTAATTTTACAACTTTTTTTCTTTACTGTATTCATAGAGGGTTCGAACGTATGCTATCATGTTTCAATTCCACTTGCGACGTACGGTAGATAGAAATAATATAATGTGGTCGTGAAGTAGACTCTTTAACGGGACCTGCCGTATTTATACATTAATTCGTTGTACCACATGAAGAACATAATACTGATAATTTATGACAAATGTTTTGCTATTAGAGAAATTTCAAGTATCAGATAGAATTTTCAATCTGTTTTTTCTACGTTTAATACGTAAGAACAGTAAAACCCCAAGACTGAGAAGTATCCACACTCTCAATTATACTTCCATGTTATTAGTCGTTAATATATCTTTGTATCGGCAAATATATTTCACGTTGAACTATTTATATTTATTTGACAGAAACATCATACGAAGATAAACTAGTTAAAAATATTCGACACGTATATTTTTTATCGACAAACACTCATTCAGTTCAGTACGTGAAATCACACTTCAAAATTGAAGGATGGAAAACTGTCAACTGAAATAAAACAAATAGAGTTAGAAAATAATGTTAATTACAAAAATTGCTTGAATGTCTAAGAGGAATAACACTGAACAAACAGAATTTTTGTCAAATCATAGGTGACACTACTATTCATTAGAACGTACATTTGCGATGTTCCTTTTAAATTTTCTACCTCACCTATTTAGATACCATTACAGTCGACTATATTCGAGGGGTTCAGTGGAAGATGATACACATAACAAAATCTTTAATTTGAAAAAATTCTGGGCGAAGTTAAACTTTAACAGAAAAAATCTTCATGCTACCAAGCAATAAAACATATTATTATACGTAAAGTACGTTACTCAGAAGAAGTCCAGCGAGACGGCATTGGGGCAAGAGGGGCACTTCCCTCGCACCGCCTGAAGTCATTCGTCACGTGGTGTTATACGGTCTGATTGGTTGATGTCATCGCGCCGGCAAATGAAAGACAGTACGTGTGCCCAATATCCTACGGTTGTGTTAGAGAAGGTGGGCTTAGGGAGATGTAACCAATCGAACACACCTACCCTTTGCTGGACTTCTTCTGAGCAACTGACTTTGCCATCGTTAGAAAATACTTATACCAATTCCAGATTTTATGTATCGTTTCCTCTAAGTACTCATCGTCTTTTCGAAAAAAAAGATGCACTTATACCAATTTTGCATTGATCTCATTTACTTGATATCCAAAATATGAGCACTTCAGCTCCCACTCGATTTTACAACCACACTATATCTCTTCCGCTAACATGTCCTCATCACTAACGGATAATACAGGCAAGCTGGTCGATTTTTTCCCTTCAATAGAGGATTTCCTCGTCCTCTAGGCTGTTCCTTCGCGCGCCTTCAGCTGTTTTGTAATGGTGCCTCTCGCAGAACTCCTGAACCCTCCGGCATGCCTCATCCAGCATGTCCATGGGCACCGTGATGACGAGCCTCATGTAGGACGGATAATCGAAGCACTGTTAGAAAAGGGTTCGAGAACCGTGTAATCAGTGGTGGCGACGAGGGGGGGGGGGAGCATCGAGAGCGAGTGGATACAGGATTTAAACGGCGTACCTGGCCGGGAAGGCAGAACACGGACTCCTCCATTAGCAGTCGCTGCACGAATTCGAGATCGGAATTAAATTCCGGAAAACAGGGTAGATCTATGTAAACCTGGGAACCGATAGGATAATTTATAGCCGGTGAATTGCGAGCGGCCAGCCTTAACGGCGAACCGTGTTCGCGCGAACGTGTAAATCGAACCCGATACTCGGCCAATTATTCGGAATTCCACGCGAAAGACGTAGCTTCCGATTGACTCGTACGTAGCGATGGGTCGGCGAACAAACGTGTCCAAACGGAGTATGGACTTCTTCAGTTACAAGAAATTCAGACAGTTCAAACAGAGTTTGGACCTTTTCGGTCTCAAGAAATTCGAATAGTCCAACATGTTTGGATTTTTTAAACCATAAGAAGTTTAACTAGTCCAAATACGTTTGAACTTTTTGGACCACTAGAAATTCGAATAGTCCAACATGTTTGGATTTTTTAAACCACAAGAAGTTCAACCAGCCCAAATACATTTGAACTTTCTCGACTACAAGAAATTTGAATTGTCCAAACATGTTTGGACCTTTTCGATTATAAGAAGTTCGATCAATCCAAACACATTATGATTTTTTCGATCAAAAAAAGTTCGGCCAGTCTAAATACGTTTGGACTTTTTCGATTAAAAGAAGCTCGATCAGTCCAAATATGTTAGCACTTTTTCGATTACCTAAAAGAAGTTAGAACAGTTCAATGATATTTCGACCTTTTCGAAAACGAAAAGTTCCAGCAGTCCAAACAAGGTTTAGTCATGACGTGGCGGCAAGACCCTTCTTAAACACTTCAAAGATTTCATCTCGCTCGACTCGGCCAAGCGTTTAACCTGTTTGAACTGTTTGATCACCCATTACTATTCGTACGCGTCGAATTGGTTTCGTTGTTCGATATGTTACGAAATGTTATTTTGAGAATGTGTAAACCTCATCTGTGTTATAATCATAATGTGCATAGTTACCATCATGTACATTGCTCCCGCTGGCATTATTGGTTTCAATCCGGGAATCTTCATTACAAAATTATACGCCAATTTTGAGTGATTCTGAGAAACACAAATTATGTCGATGAATTTCGATAAATGTATAAATTATTTTTTAAGCTCACGTGGCCAATAATTGTGTTTGGAAAACGTTTATGCAACTATTTTTCAATAATAGAGTATTAAGATAAAAATTAATTTTCCTGACAGAATTAAAAGTAGTATGTACTCCCAAAGATTTAAAACAAAGGGAACGATTTGTAGCAGGAATAATTTTGAAAGCATCTACTGTTCTGATGTATGAATATATTTCCGATTATTTCACGATTCAGTAGTTTAGTACTCACGTATAATGTACACATGACGTCATCGTAAAACTTCTGTGGCGTATTTCTCAAAATTGCTGGCAGTGCACCTTGAATGAGTGTGTTGCTGCCGATAATTCTTTGACTCAGGCAGTGTAAAGCTTTCCGAATCTGCGAAGGGTGTACAAGTATAAATATATAAAATATTAATGAATTTTAAATCATCAAATACTAACAATATTTACGTTAAAAAATTATAGTAGACGTTTGAATCGTGAAGAATTATCGAATAGAAGATCAACGATAAATAAGAATATCACGTCAAATAAGTTCTAACGAATTTGTTAACGATCACTGCACAGAATCAATCTTAGATTGTATTTAAACTACGATACCAATATATGAAAAAAAATTGTAGATTACTTACTGATGCAACTAATATTATGATTGTGTTATTTTGACTTATATAATTATTAATAATAATCATTACTATTGTATATACGGATACGAATTAAAGCATAGACACGTTTAAAACACGTGTACCCGTGTATCGCAGTGGATCTGGTACAGATCGTGATCTCAGTGGTATTCGAATGCACGCGTAACTGATGAATATTCGGCACCGATTCACTAGTAAACAAACAACGCAAGAACGCAGCGAACAGTGCCAAGAGCCGAACATTAATGGCCGAGGATAAAGTTTAATCAACGAAATTTAATCCGATCGCGGGGTGGCACGCAGGCCCAGTCGGTCGTCCTCGTTACGGAAACAATATCGGCGAAGAGGCAATTATTTTCAAGGCGTTGCGTACAGTGCCCAGGTCTCTGCCCGTTACCCACCTCCTTCTCCAGAACGTTTTGACGATCGTGGATGATTATCCAGCCCATACGCCAGCCAGGTACTAAAAATCTGCAACAGAGTCAGGAACGGTTGTTCGCGATTAACACATGCAGATAGCTTTCTCCGTAACTTCTCTGTCATGTGGATCATCGATGGCCCACAGTCAGAGCATACTATGAACTTTTCTGGCGTACATTGTATGACGTTTACACGAATGAAAATATCAATTTTATTAGCGAAAGGGTACGATGCAACCTATCGTCCATAAATTCTCGATATTTGGATGCTGCTGGAAATCTATGAAATATACGGTATATCTATTTTATTTCATCAAAATTGAATATATTGAATTGTTTCAGACCAACGTAAGTAACATTTAATAATAACACGTACTCAGCCTTCGAGCACTCATCGCGGATTTACTGTATATGTAAAAGAAAAAAGGAAATCCATGCCAAACTTGACAATTTTCAACAGCCTTATAGCCTTGTAAACTTCGACAGCCTGTATTTTTTAAACAAATTCAAGAACTTAACAATGATCACTTAACCCCCGTTCCCTAGTTTCAACATATTTCATTTTAAACAAAATCCCTGATAACAATTGCAAAATGTGATCGATTTGGTGTAGAATAATCCTTATATTATTCTCTGTTATTCGAAAAAGTGTCCGGTTCCATTTCCTCCACAACAATTACATTCTAATATCGATAATATACTACATCCAAGTATTTATGAATGGTACAAATTTTGTCACATAAAAGAGCTAACGCTTTTGTTGAATAAATAGAAATAATCAATATTACGATGTGTATTGTTGATAGTGAAAATCGTCACTAGCCAGAACGGAAAGTTTGTTGTGGAACACAGAGGACCTCCTGGACATAGAACCTCGTTAAACTAAATGAAAACAGTGTTGTTACGTGATCGATCGTGATCAAAGACAATAGAGAGCGGCGCCGTCGGCCAGTTTGGTGGAATTTTTTTCGAAAACGGATTGAAGTGCTCTAATCGTGAATTTCAAAGCGAATTCGTTGAGTACGCGATACGATCGAACGAAAATGGAAATTCGTTCGGATTCATTCGGAATCGAACGAAGGTGGATTAATGTGTTTATTGAATGCTGTTGGAAAATAATAGAGTGATGATTTTATCCATTTGTATAATGAAAGCATTCATGATATTTAAGAATATTTCTATATTACTTTAACATAGTGATGATATTTAACAATATTTCTATTTTGTTTTACCGAATAATAGAAAGTTCAACTTTTATAAATTAATCTCTGCAGTTTGTATAAATTTCCGAGGTCTAGTTAAATAAAGGGTTCACTTGAAAATTAATTACCAGTATTTTTTCAGATACGACTTGTATATCTGCATAGCTTTTACACTAGTCTGGATGATGTAGAAATGAATTTCAGAAAAATTTCTCTTTACCGTTTCTGGAAACTATTTCTCGAAAAAATAATCAGATCGAAAATGATGAAAAAAATTTGTTTTCAAGTTAATTTTCACACGACTAAATTCAGCGTAGAGAACCATGCCAGTATGCAAACATCCAGAATATTATTTAAAAATCTACTGATTGTATAAAGGTGAATACTCAGGATAAAAATCCAGAATTTACTGTACAATTGCTAGTTTCTTATTTTACTCTGAGCATCTATTAATTACTGTCAATAATTACTAAACAGCGGATTTTTACCTATAGTACACAAATATAAGCTTTCATGGATTAGTTTATAGAAACTGGGACCAGATAGGTATCTCTTCACTCCACTAAGGATTCCATCAAGCTCCAAATTTAACAAACCCAAACGCATAAAATCTCCAGTCTAATAATTACGAAGTACTAAATTTTCACAGTTCTTCATTCCATCCTAATAATATGGTAACAACAAATTTTGTCATTCCACATTTTGTATTTTTTTTTTTCGAAATTTTCCATTATTCTCAGTCGTAAGGTATTCTAAGCTCGACAAATACCGCGAGAAATGTTTCTCCTTGGCAATCATGAACAGTAATATCGATTCCGCCGTGCTCCCCTAATAATGTGTACAAAATGTAGTTGCAGACCGAGACGATGAAACAAGCCGAGAGTTCCACGGTGGTACTTCTCTGCTGGAAAATGTTCAGACTGCGCAATCACGAGACGCAAAAATGTAATCGATTTTCGCATACCTTTTCGTCAGGCCGCTGCACGACAGAATAGGGACGTCGCTCGACAAGGACGCCAATGAGTGAAAATTCCGTCCTGGAAAAACCTGGCAGAAACAACGGGAAAACAAAAATTTAATAGCTTGTGTGCAGGTTTGCCACGTGTTTGGTAAGCGTTTAAAAGAGAGGAAAGCGTCAAACTGAAAACGTGTTCACCTGTGCCAGTAACTGAACACAGAATTTTCATAGAAAATTATTGCCTACAAAGATTACTACTGTCTGGCAGAAAGTATTCCATCGAACATATTGACGTGATCATTACACAAATTATTTACACGTCTATTAAACATAGAATAGGTATATTGTTTTCAGTATATTGAAGAATTTGAATAGAGGATGTGACATTATTCGTTGAACATATTTAAAACGAAACAAATCTTTTTATGCATCTGTCAAACATAAAATAATGAAAGATTCACTGAAATATGAAAAATACAAGAACATTATGTAAGTATTATGTATCGAAAATTACATTGATAAATTGATCGTTAAATATCTAAAAGAATGAACTCGATTAAAATTGTAAAATAAGATTTAAACTGTACTTGTCTTGTGGCAGTGCAATATGACGTAATTTTGAAACTTGACAAATTCACATGGACCGATATGTGTACGATTCTATGTTCTTTTTTTGCTGAAAACCGAAATAATTTAATGTTAAGAGGCAAATGTTGTGCACGCACCATATGCTCGTAAATTTCATCGGCTATAATAGGGACGTAGTAACGAGCGGCCACATCGAGAATGTCAAGTGTATGGTCCCTCGTGAACACAGATCCGCACGGGTTCGAAGGGTTGTTTATAATGATGGCCGCCGTCGATTCGTCGATCTGTGACTCCAAGTCGTCCAGGTCGATTTCCCAGCCAAGCTCGGGCTGGAAATAATCAATTATAAAAGTATCTTTTCATTTAAATTCTGACATATTCTTTCTTCATCTGAACACTTTATATTTTACGTTGGCTCTTGCTTATAAGTAGACTGCGGATCTTTATGCAAAATAACAATTTCATGAAGCAATTTACAAAAACAAGATTAAAAACAGGAACTTCTTTATTCTCTGAAGTTGTTTACCAGGTTAAGAATAAAATAAAAAATATATTAAACCTGATACATGTTCTATTTTCATTTCTATTTCACATACTCCTTTATGTTTTAAATGCATAAATTCCGCAGTCTACTTATAAGTAATCGTTAATTATCGAAAAACTTAAGTATTCGTGAATTATACGAGAAATTAGTATCTGTCAATATCTGTGACATAAATTTTGATAAAATATGTTAAAAATTTATTTTATGAACCGGAAATAAAGGAATGTCTCACGTTTTTATTTTTAAAAGGAGTTCCCCATTCCAAGTATGTAAAAATACCTTACTAAGGTATTAAGAAATTAACGATGTTCTTGACATTTAACAAAGAGGACCAAAAGGCTGAGAGAATCAGTCCTGTCGAATCAATCTTTCATCGTCTGTTCTAAATACACACTATCGTGTACCGAGTTCCGTATGCAGGTATATCAAATTGCAATGAATGATAGCAACCACCTCGTTTAAAAAAAATGGTGGCATTAAAATACAGAAATATAATAGTTACTTCTATATCAGTTTACATTTTGTATAATTACAATGATGCATCACAATATTACCATCGCATTTATTTAATAATAAGCTCCTTTTCACATAAATCACTTGTAACGTTTTAACAAAACAGATATGTAAGTAGATGGAAAATTAAATAATTTACGAATTACGAATCATAACAAACGTTCTACTACGTCGTGTGTGCCCCTTGTAAACTCTGATTTTTCGTTAACATAAATTTTTATGTCAGCGGTACAACAAAAGATACTAAAGTAATCTGTTCCTAGTGGACCACCCTGTATCCAGAAATCGAAAAAAAAGAAGGGATTCAAAATGACCCAATGTCGGATGGCCAAGCATATTCGTCGAAGAACACAGAGACACAGTAATTTATTTTCGTCTCCGGCGGAGTAGAAACCGTTCCAAATCCATGACTTCGCCTATACAGGGTGTTAATAAAACTGTGCGTAAACTTAAGCGTTACATCTGGGGACCTCTTCTTCTTAGTGCCGAGGAGCCTTCGAACATTAATCGAGAATTTACTATATTTATATGTGGAATAAAATATTCATATTAAATAAAACCGTTTATCTTTTAAGAATCTTTGTTTCGCTTTATGAAAGCACAAAATAAAAAGTATTCCTTTTGCATGATAACTATTGAAAAACTATGTACATATACATATACGTATAAAACTAAACACTGATATCAAGTTCTTAATTAAATAATATTACATTAGTAAGAAAAGAGATATTGTTCTTGCACCGGAGCTGCCAACAAGCCAGGAACAATCCTGAGTCTCACATGTTTATTAACACCCTGTATATGCTAGGGCCATGTACCACACCTATATTCGTTATATGTATAGTTAATCAGTGTCAACTTGTACATTATAGCTCGGTCTCTCGTAGACAAGAAGAGCCCACGACACCGCGGTTTTAATTACTGTTCCCTGGTAAAATAGTCCACAGTGTCTCGAGGACGGGTGGGGGAGGGGGCTGGAGCGGCATTAAAACTCCGGCGGCGGTCGAGGAATAGGAGGAAACTAAAAGAGGCCCCGTTCCTCGCTGCGGTTTAACAATCCCCAGGATTTGAATCGAAATACCCACTCCACGAAAAGAATTGCACAACCACTGAACAAATATTGGTAGAGGCTGTTACACTCTGTAAAGGCGCGGGAAATGCACTTGTAATTCCTTCGAGGAGCGAAGGATCAACTTTCGAAGTAAGTTCCCCCCGTCTTTCGTGTAGTTGTTGCCGTCGAGTTCGTTGCCTTTGACTCCTCCTTTGGCTTCAAATCGCACGAGAAACGTAATTTATCTTTTCAGACTGTAATTCGTCGTCTTAATCGAACTCTTTGGAACACGAAAGTTCTAATAACAATTTTATAATTGTAGAAATGTATTCATACGGCGTGTGACGTACTTGTAAAATTCTGAAGATTCGATTGTGTTACGAAAACTCCTCCAAAGTTTAGTACCAATTCGTTAACATTGAGTGATGTAAGAATGTACAGGGTGCCCCACAGAATGTAGTACTATCGAGCAGGATATGATTTTCCGTGAAAAAATAAATGGGAAATCAAGAATAAAATTTGTTTTAATGACGCTTAATATAAGTATAATATATAGTATAATATAAATTTCTTAAGATACGTCATTTTGCATGAAGATCCGCAATCTAACGACGACTATCGGTCAATGCTTCGAAAAAGTAGTAAATCTTTCCTTTAATGTACCTTGAAACTGATGTTCACGATTTTTTTTCTATATATTCCTTTCAATTGTAATCCAAATTAAAGTACAAAACGGTTTTTGTATGAAAAATGTATAGCTAATCATATTGATTATTTTTGGGAACGAGTGAATTGGAACGTAAAAAGAGGGTGTTTATAAAATGTTCAGAGTATTTGGTAGCAGTAAGTTACACTGAAAGGAAACAGAATTACTTCGATGCAAATGTATTTTGTGCGAGAAGCCTGTTATCGGAGCATTAGCTAGGTCGTGGCTGCGGATAGCTAGGCGTAAATTTCTTGCGGCATACGGCTATACTTACGCGTAAATCGTAGGACTTTACGGTGATCCCGAGACCCTCTGCCAGCGTTCGATAGATCGAAAAACCAGGTCGTGGTATCAGGATGTTCTGGCCCTCTCGTGCCAGAGCTGTTATACAGAGATCAAGCGCGCAGGAGCATCCGCTGCAAAGGATCACGTCCTACAAAAATAAGAATAGAAAGAAAAGTAAAAAGAAATAGTCCACAGTTACATATCTTACGATCATTTGAATCAATGTGTTATGTATATAGAATGCTTTGCTTACTCTCTTCACTGATTTTTAATGATACGAGAAATTAGGCAAAGAAAAGAATGTTCGCATTTAAGAGAAGAATATTTGGATTATTGTTGCTCTTTCTTAAAATCATTTTTTCAAGATATTCAAGTCATGGAAATTTTCTTTAGTTTTAGAATTAGCAGCATTGAATGTATACTAAATCGAATATTAATATGTATTTATAGTACATAATGCAGTATAATGTAATATAACGTAATATAAAATGTACAATAAATTAAAAGTCAACATAAGTTACCATCATAGAGCCTTTATGATTTCAATAATTTTAAAACTAGAAATCTGAAATTCATCATTTTGATGTACCTATTTGCCAATTTTAATTTAGCGATCTTTTTTTTTATCACAGTCCTGTCAGAGCTCAGGTAATTGATCTGTATATGATACATAGAATGTAGAATAAAAATTTTCGAACTATATTTAAGATGATTTTACAAAAATTGTACGTTACAGTATTATATCATTATATTTAACAGTATTATATCATATAAGATCTTAAGTGAACAAGTACCAAATTAATTAAAAACTTTCTATAATAAAAAATATAATTAAGAATCAACGATTGACTTAATATTAATCAAGTACAGTGTTAATTAATATATTAAAGTTAACAACATTAATTTTGTTAACAAAAGCGCCGTATTTATTAATAATTTAACAAATCACAGTGTTTTCATGTGCGAGAAATACCTACATGGAAGATAATAAACTTGAACAATTTTGGGGTGTTTTATATACCTGACGAACAGTGTATTATCGGTCCTGGATACAAAGTACAAAACGGGGTTTTCAAAACGATTCAATCTGTCTCGTCGTATTCCACGATTAATTGATGGTATTTCTTCTTTCCGTGGGAGTACATAAATACACTCTGGTCCGCGGTCAATCGTCGGGGGAAATCGGATTTTCTCTGTGAACTTCATCGGGAACTCAATCAACCGGCGCGGTTTAACTAGATATCGTCATCCTATACGTATATACATATATGCGTGTAACATGTGTACCCACGCGACATGGGAAACAAAGAACAAGCGCATAGAGAGGGGTGGCGGTGTGTCTGGAAATGAACGTGTTTCTATATGCACCTGGTCGCACGCGAAACTAATTCCGACCTAGACATCTGCCAAACTGTGCGACGCAGTTGTCGGAGAATTTACGCTCGTTTGTTGATAGGGGGAAAAGTATTCGAGAAGCGTGATTCCTTCCAATTATATGCTTCCAGTAATATTCAATTGTGTGAAGCTCGTAAGTCAAAGAACAGAATTTTATATCCGAATGAAAAATAAAATAGTATGGGATAACACACCGTAAACGAAAATGAAACATTAATAAACAAAGCTAAGAAGAACCGGTCACGTTAAATTACATATGAAAGGGGTTGGGCAAAATGTAATCTAATTACAAAATCCAAACCACAATTACAATGTAATTGCAGGACAATTACAATGTAATTGTAATTATCTGTACTAAATTCACAATAAAAATTACAATGTAATTGTAATTGCTATTGTCCCCCAATTACATTGTAAAAAATTTGTTTTCTTAATTCTCTGTATGGTAACCTGCATCTACGTATTCATTAATGACTGGATATGTAGAACGGTTACGTAATCCGTATACAGAATTTATAAAGGTGTACAATAATTTTAAGCAAACGTAGTTAATATATTTCATTCATTTATGTAGAACGTATGTATCCGTAACCCATATCTCTCTCATCTATTCTGTTTCTCTTCAGCATTCTTCTTTTCATTCCTCCACCCGCGCCACCAATATACCGAAGATTTGTTTCGAATCGATCGTCAGTTTCGCGTTAGACAAGCTTGGAACACAATTTTAGACACAATTTGATTTTTCGAAAATTTAGTTTCCAAAAAAATTATTGGATTCCAGAAATCTGTAAGAAGATCGAATTCATTTTTGCTGCTCGTAGAAACGAACTGTTAAAGAAGTAAAGTTATACTTTGTAAAAAATGATTGTTTTATTTCATTTTTCGTTTTGAAAGATTGCTGTCGTTTCGTTATTCTACAGAAAAAAGGCGAAACCGTTTCTTAATAAAAATCCGAATTTTGAAATCTAATACTTCGTTTATCGAAGTTTCACTTCCTGCCTATTTATTTTGTAATCTAAACTGTATTAATTTATCTTTTGTATCACTTCTATTGCAACACTATAGACACAAATGGTGATCATAAACTGGTAAAAAGTGTACCGTACAAAATATTAAATGTATCTAAAGAATGAAAAAACATTACTATATTGTTATTGTAACTAATAGTAAAATTTAATGTTGTAATCGAAACTGTCGAGACTCACTGGCACCATTTGCACGACCCCGAACGGTATATTAAAGTATGAAATATCGCAGACTGTCGTCATTTATCGATGGTAACATTTCATTCCACTCGTGAGTTACAGAAGTTTCTGCGTATGTAATTAGCTGTTTTGAAACGTTATTTCAAACACGTTTAAAATTTCAACTATAATTGTGCATTAATTCACTCGACAATCCGGAGCCATTTATATTTTAATTTCCCCGAAAATCGCGGCAATTTTCACGGAGTGCAATATTTTGATTCTAATTTAATCAAACTCACGCGACAAGTAGACAACATTCTAACGAGTAATTAAATATTAGATAGTTATAGATTCTGCGAATTGAAACTCACCTCGGGCTTTACTTTCACGAACTCGTTGGAACTGTATTCTGCGACGGCTTCCTTGGCGGTCTGATAACCTGTAATTCAATAGAATTAAGCAGGCGTTATAGAGTAATTGTAATGCAACGATACTTAATTAATTTTCAAGTAAAACCTGTCAATATTGACGTTAAAATTTTATTAATATTCACAATTTCATCGCAATAAATGTAAATTGCAGAAGAGTTATCAGAATACTTGAGGTATTCTGTTAGATTTTTCACATATTTGTTAATATTGACATCATAATTCTATTAATACTCAGATCCATCTACCTCTAGGAATGTAAATTCCAGAAATGTTGCCAAAATCGACATGCCTAAGGTATTCTGTGTTAGATGTTTTATTTGGTACAAATTTGCGTGAAAATTCATTATCAAACTTGATGCTGAATTCAAATTAGTGATTAATATTGTCACAGTTCATTAAATAGATTAAATAAAAATTGATTTAAATATTAGTTATTAATACCTGTACTCGGTGCGTATCCATTATATAATTGAGACCCAACGCTCTGTTGAACAGCTTCAATCACTTCTGTTGGTGGTTTCAAGTTGCCAAATGTTGTAGGATCGCCTAAAAAATAAAAATGTATAAAACTATAAAACCATTAATTGCATACATGAGACAATTAAAATAATCGTCAGCATCGATTAAAAAAAGGAATTTAATGGCGAGTAATATCCAAAAAATAAAAATAGAATTCTCATTTCTTTTATAAACTGCCTTCGTACATAATGTAATAACACAATTTCGAAATTTCGAAATTTCATATTTTCATTCTTATCCCATTCAAGGTATTATTCCATATAAAGTTTATTCTGCAATCGAATTACATTAGACGAACAGAAAACTCATAGCCATCGGATTTACGTTGACAAATTTGGTTTCATTTTATTTTCTCGACGTGATACTCAATTTTCCGCAGAACAATGGAAAAAAGTTCTAACAAACGAGGGGAAATATTTCAAGGTACAGTAATTACTCAACATTTAAACAAATTTTCAATGGAAACAACGATCAATACTTCCGCGCATGCACCAAATAACAAAATACATAATAACAAATATATTGGGCATTTCTAGCTTGCATATTTTATTGCATCAAGAAACAAGGTTAATTCGATCGAGAGTAGAAACGGATTCTCGTATTTCCAGGGCGCCCCCGAGTTTCAAAAGTTTCTCGGTTCCCGAAAACTCGATCATAATGACCACGAACAGCAGCAAACGATTAAAATATCCGGGAGCACGGTTCTGTTCTGAAACGAGACATTATAGGGAACTGGCTTCGAACTAATTACACACGGAACAGGCCGCGATAAGCACGTGGAACACGAAATTATCCGGTCTCACGAAATTCCTCGCAGATCCGAGAAACTCGTAACGGGGAACTTTTATCTGTCTCTCTGTTTCGAGCGCGTTTTCTAATATTTCCTGCCACCCTATCAGACTAATTCCAGGTGGTTTAATAACGGGCGAACGTGGGACGGGCAATGAATCCTGTTTAATCGTATTCGGTGCAGTTTCGAATAAAATGATTGCTTTTGAAAAATAAAAACACGCGCATTGAAATGACATAATAAAATTCGACCTATTATTTACTAAATTGTACTACTAAATTTATGCTTCCTCAGAGCCATAATCAAATACTTGTTTTTAAGTTCAAAGAATGGTGTCCATTGTTTATTAACCCTTATCCGCCCCTTGTGTCAGTTTAACAACTATGTCTGTTCAGTTTTTGTATATTAATTTTTTAAATGTTTGTAGAATAATGTTTCCATCCTTTATTTATTATTAGACCCAGACTCAAAATTTTGGCTGGTAGTGCATACACACAGATAGAAGACGAAAAGAAAATAAGAGAGGAAGGAAAGACGTACGTCAAAGAACTGGTCTTTTATATTAATTATAAATTCACATTTTTCTGCATTGTACTGGGTGTTCTATAATACGTTGGACCTACTTCCTTCAAAGAAAAAAGGCACGAAAGCAATGGAAGAAGTTCGTAAAATATTAGTTTGCATAATTGTGTATTTCACCTTGTTCCTAAGTCACAGCTATTTTGATACCGCAGTGACTATGTATGTTGTTTATGATCAAAGTTAACTGCTTGTATTTATAAGAATTCCGTAGAATAATTAATTTCGTACCGAATGCAAATTAATAGTTTTGTCGCGTAGTTTCAGAATCCTGTAAAAATTTCCAGGCGTCATTCGAATCTAGTCACAGCTTCCAGAATTTGTTCAGTAGATTTACTTGTACTTGCTCCATTATGTAGTCGTTATGAAACTGTGAAGCTTTATGCAAATTTGCAATTTAGTTAGACAAATTCAGGGAAACTAAAATTGAACAGAGTTAAAGAAATGAATATTATCTGAACCCACATTAAATACTATTGAATTTTCTATTTTATTGATTTTTTAAAGTTATTATTAATTATAAATGTATAAATATCTATTCTAGTTGTTATAGATTACTGACGGGCAAAAGTGCCTGAAATGCAAATTATGAATTCAAGATTTGCAAAATTGGTTACAAATGAAATTCGTGAAACTGGATCCATGTACCTAAGCGACTTTATATATGAAATGTAGATCTAGAGCTAGATCTCTATAAACCATACTTCTCCACGACTAAGAATTCTTCAGAATAAATTCAACCTCAGAAACGAAATGAAACACTAAATCTCACCGATGGACAATGAGATCAATGGTTTCGTAGCATTCGGCTCGACCACGATGTTCTCCACGATCGACCTTATGGGATTGTGAGTTCTCCTCCCGATATCTGACGCCCGGACGTTCCATCGTTCGCGAAAGATCGAGTCACACATCTCGGGTCCGGGCGGCCTCTAAACCGTCGTTTCGAATTTCCCGCCCTCGGAACACTCGTCGCGCGACACGAAAAACCACTTCCTCGAACTTCGAATCGAATCAACGTGTCCGGGTCAGTTTAAATTATAATTAATACTGTTCGTTTATCGAGAACAGATCGATAGTCCGTGGAACGACGGTTTTGGTCGAACTGGTACTCCATCACTGAGTCGGGATCGGTTCAAGTTCGCCAATAATCGAAATGCACCACTGGAGGCTGGGGGACGAATGAACCGGTCGGATTGGTCGACTATATTCCACACCTTCTTTCATAATTATTTTGAATGGATTTCTTTGCTTACGTAGACAAACAACCTCGGGCTATTTTCCCTGGCGCTGTGACGCGTTCTTGCGGAGGGAACGATCCTTCCACAGGACGTTCCACGGTGCTGCTAAAAGCTGCACCTTTGACTGATTCACCGCGATAAGGAACGCACACACTGGAGATCCATGTTTCAGTACGTGTCTTTAATAAGTATATGGGTTAGGTGTCTCTGAACAGACCATAACTTCTAGGGAAGATAGTATTTGCCAAATGATGAAAAAAAGTTCTAGTAACCATGGGTCCAAAGATTAATATTTTCAATGTTATAAATAATTTTTTCTCTCCTTACCAAACATATGCCTATTCATCTACGACACTTGTAAAATCGAATACTACCTCGAACACGATTGGTTTATTGACTTACAGTGGGTAAAAAAACTATTCGTACACCCTTTAAAACAGAGCAACTCTTTCAAAACTGGACCAAGTGACTTGAGTTTCTTTGTGAAGTTAGAAGGATTAGTTTACTAAATGATGTTAAAACAATTTTTTTAAATTTGCGACTTTTCAGAATGTCGAAGAAGATAGTAAATGTCGTTTCTTACAACTTTTTTGCCTGAGACTGTAATGAAAATTTAGTAAATACATTTCGAAGATTTATGTTAGTTATATACATGGTGCAACTTTTATTGAAATCGGTTAATACAGAAACGAGTAACAGGCATCGAAAGATGTATGAATCTTTAGGTATACTACAGTTGCAGGTCAAAAGTCGCGAAAAACTGCGATTTTTAACAGTTTGTATCTCTTAACGACGTTAACCGATTTCGATGCAATTTTCAGCATGCATATAACTAACATAAATCTGAGCAATGCATTTGTTAAATTTTCATTACAATCACAGATAAAAAAGTCGCAAAAAGCGACTTTTATTATTTTCTTCGCGATTCCGACCAATTGCAACTTTTTTAACATTTTGTTGACACATCATTTAGTACATTAATCCTTCTAAGTTCACAAAGAAACTCAAGTCACTTGGTCCAATTTTGGAAGAGTTGTTCTGTTTTAAATGGTGTACGAATACTTTTTTTACCCACTGTATGTTTATCAAAACACATTTTTTCTGTTTTAAATGTGTACGAATACTTTTTCTACCCACTGTATGTTTATCAAAACACATTTTTTCTTTCCTTCAACGTGTTCCGCTAACCGGTTAAGTTTCCATCAACGAATTGGAAATACAGTATATGCAAAACAAATACTTTCACATACTCGTTTTTCAGAAATAATATCGATGCATTCCTAAATTACATTATAAACATTCCCATTGCTTTACCGTATGTTATCTGTAGCAGCATTCTAATAATGCATTTTCGACTATAGTCTGTCGATCACCATTGTTCAATACAGTTGTTAGAAAAGACCTAACTGTGCAAACACCTCGTTTAGCCGCCACATAATCCTGATGGTCGTATCGCGAACGATTTTGATTGAACCGACAGTGATTCAGAATTTGCAAACAGCCAACAATTAATAACAATACCTCCATCATGCTTCGTGGACTGTTAATGAATACAGTTTTGCAAATGCTCGTGTTGCGCAATCATCATGCTCAGTATAATGGAAAACAAACGACACACAGAAAACGACATAGAAAATGATGTTGCACGATATCGTTGCAAATACGCAACAAGCCTAAACCATTGCGAAAATAACGTTCGATTGGAGGCTGGAGGACGATTGAACCGGTCGGATTGGTCGACCGGGTCCCACACCTTCTTTCATCGTTTATTCAGATGAATTCCCTGCTTACGTAGATCGGCCACGATCATTTTCTCCTGTCGTGATCCCTGCTGCGGCGCTCGAGCGGACAAGCGATTGGCCTTGCTACGTTTGCATCTAAAGCATCGCGATTGGTATTTTTTGCCGGTGATTTTCCAGTTTTTTTCACGCCGTTTCCAGCAAGTTTTTCAGTTGTTATCACGATGAATCGGTAATAAAACACGCCGCGGATGTTTATGCAAACGATTGGTTTTATGGAATAATGTACAAATCGAATAGAATTTCACTTTCTTTATTTTAAAATGCCATCGGATAAAATATATAAATTTGACACTAAGTAGGGAATATTAGAAATTTATTGTATTTTATAATTAGAACCTCTGGCATAGACAGTTGTTCAATACTTTATAGTTTGAAGGTTTCCGGTGATTGTTACCGTTGAACGGCCTACTACAATCAATGCGAAAACAACACTGTTTATACCAAACGTCAAAAATTAACATTAAATTATGTTACTTGATTCTCAATCAACACCGCAATTCGTTGTGTCGTTCTGTTGTGCACATTGAATAATACCTGCTTATGGAGTACGCAATAATATCACATCAATATTAACACTAGGACTACCAACAATAACAGTATATTTCCCAAATAGCACAAAAACGTCATATGTACGTCCGGAGAACGTACGTTCCTACGTAAATCCTACGAACATTCGTAAGACTTAAGAAATGGACATTCCTAGAACATTCGAAACTTAAGTCTTACGAACATCCTTGGAATGTCCAAAATGGACGTAGGATATTTGGATATAAACTGGACATAAAACTGACGTCCTTTGGATGTACGATGCTATCTGGGTTAGGATTTCTATCGGATCGATAGACATGACTAGACTGCGGATTTATATGCAATTTAAGTCTTACGAACATCCTTGGCATGTCCAAAATGGACGTAGGATATAAACTGGACATAAAACTGACGTCCTTTGGATGTACAATGCTATCTGGGTTAGGATTTCTATCGGATCGATAGACATGACTAGACTGCGGATTTATATGCAAAATAACATTTTCTAAAGTAATTTATAAAGACAGGCGAAAATTTAGAAATGTATTTTTTTTCTTAAGTATCTTATTGGGCTCGGACTAAAAAGGAAAACTCATTGAATCCACAGAGCCCTATGGGCAATAAATGCTTAAAATCCGCAGTCTAGACATGACAAACTATTGAAAATATACATATTTACAAAATTAACTCTTTTCTTGGCTTTCAGATTCCAGTAAAGTTATAAAAGATCTGGAAAAATGTAATATTGTAACATTTTAATTGTCAGTATAAAAGGGTACTAACCAGTTATTTTTACTGCTTGGTAATTCTAGCAGTTGGTAATTCTGTAGCTCCGAGCCCCATTTTTCCAGGAGTCCCCTTGCAAACCTTCTATTTCGTTATGATTAAGTATTATTTAATTTTATTCAGCATAAATTTCAGTCTTTGAAGATTTATCTATTTTAGTACATGTTCCATTACAAAAATTTGTTTCCAACCTTCATTTGTTGACACCTCCTCCCTCGTTTTTCAACCAAGGGGTCCTAGAAGGTTTGATAGCCCCGACCCCCAAAAGTCTTTATCCGGGCCTGAGTTCTAGTGTTAACTGTGACATAAAGGATACGATATTAAATATTCATATGATGTAATAAATGTTTCCAGCACTGTACACAGATACATTTAGTAGTGTATTTGACTATCCGTTCATCGCATAGTTATATCATTTTGATGTCTGATGACTCATAAGTGACTTATGATCGGGGCTGTAGATACGTTGGACGATAATATAATATGTACAACCACAGCTTAGTCACTGTGTAAAAAAACGTAAACACGATGAAAAATCATAATCGTGAATCAAAAATCAATAATGTAAGTAAACTATACAAAAGCACAGAAATTTTCATAAAAAATGCTTTATACGACGATGGACAGTATAATAAAGCAATAAATATACAAAACAAAGTTTGTACTTTGTTATTACATAAATATCCGAAAAAGTGATATCTGTGGTCGGAAACATTTAAGATACTCGTGTTTGCCTGTTTTTCAGTTAGAAATAAACCGCTGTCTTGAATTGCCTGAGAGAGTAAAACCAAATGTAAACGTTGAAACTTGTGTTAGTCGATGAAAAGTGTGACATTTACGATTTAATGAAAAAACGGGATATTTTAACTTTATTAGATGTTTCTATGGCACCATTAATTCCGCAGTTCAGAAGGTGAAGCTAAGTCCGCATTGCAGCTTGAATATTTTTATCAATCAATTTTATAGCTTCGACCCTTTTTTGAGTTGTCATACAGCTATACAAAACAGTTTTTTAACATGAACCAGTACGAACATTCAAAGAATGCAGTATCCCAGGTTTTTTAATGTTGCAAAACAACTGTGCCACGGATGAATTCAACCTGTTACTCTGTAGATAATTTCAACTAGTATAGTTATACCATATGAACTTACCGATATTGGAATAGTCGATGGTCAACCGTGATTAGCAAATCATTCTGTTTCATACGACCTCATTTTCTCTACACAGTATCATAAAGTATCTTATAAAAAATTCAGCAATCTGACTTTTATAACCTTGGAATGACCTTGAATGTGAAAAATTAAAATTTTTACTAGCTTCAAAGTAAAGGGTTACATCGTTTTCTAATTATCGAAATACGTTTTATTTATCACTTAAAAACAGTATAAAAACTACGATGATAGATTTTCCTATTCTAGTATTGCTCTACTACTAAAATACTATGATACTAAATGTGTACGTTTGGCCGATCGTCGTTATCCATGTCCTCTGGAAAACATGTTCCCTCAATGTCACCATTCTCTATAACCTCCGCCGCGTATTTGATGTACCTCTGCAGCGTAGAATAGTCCATTCTGACACCATCGAAAGCAGATAAATCGTGGGTGTCAAGATGTTTGACAAAAGTATTGTACGTTCTGTAACTCCTTCTACGGTTAGTGCAAATTGCACAGCAAAGGGACAATCGCCGCTCCATCATAATACAATTCTTCACGTATTTCAGGTACGTGTCCCATTCATCCAACCGATGCTTCACAAGCTTCATGATCCCTTGCACTTTCGATCGAAAGCGATCACCGCCCCCTTTGTGTAAACGCCTTTCCAAAAAGACACTTTCCCGGAATTGACGAAGTTCACGGACCTGATCTGCGCTCCAGTCACAGTTTCTCGAGATCCCTTGTATATATTCAAGACACTCATGATCGAAATCATACTCGTGCCTGTCTTCCTCGTCGTATATCATGCGAGCCGCTCGTTACTGATAAATCAAACAAGGTCGACGAAGATAAGAATTTACCGCAGATGAATAATGCGCGTGGAGTCGGTGGATCTGTCATACGACGACAATCGAACAGAAATGGTTGAAGAACTTCTGGTTTCAAAGAAGAAGTCCCCTTGTTGAGACTTTTGTTTCCACGTTGAAAGTGAGATCGAGACAAACAAGATCGTGTAGCCCCATTCTGATCCTCATTGCTTGTTCCGATTACAATACGACAGATTTTTATGGCGAAGACATAATACGGTCGAATTCCATTCTCGTTGTACGACAGATCGAGACACTTCATTATAGAAGTACGATACAATTTTTCACGATGGATCTTCAGTTATGGTGGGATATACAAAGTCCGATCATAAAGTTCGAGGGCTTTATCTATAAAGCACTTGTTATTAATCTTAACAATAACTCCGTGTAATAACTATTAAAGTTATCTCCATCTGTTTTTATACACCTTCGAAATACTTTTTTTTCCAATTGTCGAAAGCGGCATTGTAAGCAAACGCCGGAATAAAGTGTATCTCCTTCTGTGATTTCTTAATTATTGTCCCTTGCGTGATAAAATGTTCTTTTGGCATCTGGTTAACATTTCAACTGCCACCTCACCCAAATATGGGTGATACGTACATTGCAACGAGGTTGAATTATTTAAATATCGTTACAAAATTTTTCGTAAAATTAATATCGCAGTATAATTCAAAACAAAACCATCAGCCTCCATTAACCAAACGTACATATTTTCGACGATTTATAACTTAGAATACGAAATAAAGTGTGTCTGGCTAAGTACGTTCTTTTTCACTGTGACAGACATGTGTGTTAAGATGAGGAAAAAGATGGCAATTTCTTAAAATTAATCATAATTAGGAACGAAATATCGGTGAATGGTTACGATATGGAGATGAAGAAGTCATCGAGCCAGTGGGTGAAGAAAGATGAGCGACGTCCAAAGAAAGAACGCATATGTTGCTTGAATGTGAAACCCAGTCACTGGTTCGATTGTTAAAATGCCAAATTTTGTAAAAATGTAATGTATTAAATAATATTTTGTTTAAAGGATGTTATTAATCGTGACGGTGCACATTTCGACCAATCGAAAGCGCTTTCTTTTTCCAAAAATAAGCCTTTCCGTTTCGATCTGTCGAAATGGCAGTTCCAATTGGTACAGTCTAATACACGCAAATCAAATGTGCATGTTTCGTACTTACGCAATGTGATCTATGTTACTAACTAGTTCTTCCTACGATTAGGAGTGCAACTGCAACTAGGAACTGTTGCAACGGACTTTTATACCCGGGAAGCGCGTCGATAATAACTTTATCATACAGATTAATCATATTGATGTAGCGAACAATGAAGCTTGCACGAACCATCGATTTTGTATTTTAAAATACAAAGAAAGGAATTAACGCGCAGTCCAATGACAAGCGTCGAACGTCAAAGAACAGCGATCGATCATCTCCATACAATGTAAGCAGATAAGATATGGAATTACTAATCAGGCATGATTGAAAATTTAAACTGATAATTTTCAATAAATTTCAATGAAAATGTCACGAATGAATTGATGAGATTCTCCCTATAAAAATGAGTCCAACGAATGCAATTGAGCAATTTTTATTCGTATTTTGTATAGGTAATGTTGCGATAAAGAGTCATAATAAAGAGAAAAAGTCCATTTTTATTTAAATGGGAGAGAGTCATCATTATAATATGTATGTTATGAATATTTCAAAACATGAAATCACTAAAAAATATTAATTTTTAACATTCAAGTGATTAAAAAATATAAATTTTAACTAAGGAAAAATTACCGTCGCCAGTAATAATTATCAGTAATCCAAATTAAATTAAATTTTAGTAAACAAAACTATTTAAACAGGGATGTTAATTTTTATATCATAACATTTTAAATTTGGGTTACAATAACAGTTATGGTCTTTGATTTTAAAACTTCAAAATAGCGATTAAAATTTCTTTATCTTTCATTTTTTTATATGTGGCAATATACTTTTTCAATGTTGAAGAAAATGTTAAAAATACTGACCGATCTCCAAGTACATATTGCATCTAAATTTCGACACAGGGAATTCAATATCTACACGCACCAGAAACGATAAAAGAAAGGAGCCGGGAGGAAGGAATTAAAAAACGAGTGAAGTTTGAAAATAGAATTTTATTAGCTACGTAGCAAAATACCTATTTACTTAAATATTTGGCTTCACACGATTACCAGGCTAAGTTCGTTTATATTAATATACAATATGTAAAGTATGCCATATTGGATATGGGCAGTGTCCGATGGTAGTACGAATAAACTTAATTTTCATACGACATTAACGAGATATAAATATATATATATAATATATATATATTATTTTACATGCTAGAGAAATAGTACGCTAGGCACATGTTTGAATAATTATAGAAAAACAAAAAAAAAGTAGGGAAACTTACGGCGTACGAAAGGGTTCGCTCGCGGGAAAATCGAGGGCGGGTGAAGGGGGAGAGGCAGTAAAACAAGAGAAGTGGCGAGAGATACGATGAGTAGAAAATAAGTCGCGAAAACCGGGAGGGGGAACAGGAGAATGGGTGGACAGTAGATATTTCTGAAATGAAAGCGACACAGAGGAGGACATAAAAAGAAGGATAACAAGAATGAGAGTAACGAAGGCAAGATGTACGTAACGGGAAAAGGATAGCCGAAAAAAACGAAAGGAAGAAGCTCTCGGCCCGTTCTCTTTATTTCGACGTCGCCGGATTTTTCGCGAATCAACCGGCGAACGATCGGTTTTTTCGTTCCATCGCGAGACTTTGGATCTTTCCTTACATTTTTCTTTTCCTTTCACGTTCTAGTTATCCCTAGTAATCTTTTTTTCTTTTTCCCGAGGGGGCAATGGGGCAGGCAAGTAAAAAAAGGAAAAAGAACACAAAACGGGGGAGGCAAGAAGAAGAAGAGAAATATGAGTAGAAAGAAAGAGAGCAAAAACAGATACGCGTACGTTGGTTCTACGTGTCCTTTATACACACTTGGCAGCGACTTATTCGAGTCCTGAGGTTGCCCGCCTTCAGGGTCTGTTTCTCGGGCCTTTGGAACTGTTGACCATCCTCGATGGTCGCCATCCAAAAGCTGAACTCGTTCGTGTAATAGTGGCAGTGTCCTTTCGCGCCGTTGCACTCGATGAACGGCGTCGCGCGGAAGTCCTCCAGGCAGGATCCAGTGCTGGACAGTGACTGTCCGCCGCCCTGGGAACCGGCGCCCGTGTGCTGAAACAGTCACGACGAAGATTCAGTTTGATTCATTCGTTTCGATGTTGAGCTATTTCTATTCTTCGTTCTTTTTTTTCTCTTTGAAAGCATTAATAATACCCAAAAATGTTTGAGATGAAAATTGAATGGTTCCGAAGGGGAAATAATTTGATACGAGTAGTTTCTTTCTGTAGCTGAACATCTAGAGGACATATGACGGTCAAATTTGTGTTTTTTTTTTCAAAATATGTATAATAAAATGTTTAACGAAATTTAATGAGATTTTTATACTATTTGAAACCCAATGGAAACTTTACTATGGTAAATAATTTTTTTTTTCAATTTCTGTAAATTTCTATTAATTGATATAGTAAAGTCTGTATTTACAGATTGATTTGACAATGAGTTTCGTACGAAATGTTTAGAGAACTTAGTAGGTGACATAAATTTCATTAAATTTCATTTTTACGAGTTGACCTGTAGTTTCGTACGAAGTGTTTAGAGAATTCGGCAGGTGAGTTCAATTTCATACCATGGCAAAACTGTAACCGATCCAAAGGCCGGTCCATCCTCGCGGACATTCTGGAATGCTCAATGATTGGCTGTGTACGGCTAGCACATTCGCTGGAACTTCACATACCACGCACCTATTGGATACAATAAAGTTGAATTAGTAGGCGTCTAAGCCGATAATATTTTATATGCTTGTAGATTCTTCAAATTTGTTGCTTCGATAATATTTAATATCTCAATAATCTGTCTAAATTTAAAATTAATCGCATGAATAGCTTCGACAATCAGCTGGATGCCAGCTGACAAGGTCCTTCCAGACATGACGATAGATAATGTAGTATAACTCTGTCACTTTGTAATTTTAAATAGTAACTATTGTACAAAAATGGAGTTAAAATGTTGCCTAAGGTCTCTTAAAATGATCCCAATATTTTACTCAATAATGAGTTTAGTTTCTCTTTCATTTAAACAAATCCGAGAAAACAAATTTCAAAACCTACTTTTTTTTCAAGTCCACACAGTAGAATACCAGCTTAATAACAAATTTTTTCGCTCCTCGCGCTGCAACATTGCGACAAAACGTTTCTACAAATGACATGTCATAGCTTCGCGATCCCCATTACATCGTTATCGTCGTCACGCTGCGTAAATAATGCAAATTCAGTTCCACGAGGAGTCGTTGTTTTTCTACGACGGATGCAGGAAAATCCGGTCGATATCGACACGTATCTAGTTGTCGATTAGCGAACAAACTATTTCAAACATGTTTGGATTAAACATCTGTCGAGGAGTCTGAACATTTCAAATCTGAACCATGACGAGGTGTTCGAACTGAAGGTCATTTCCAAACAGTCTAATAACGGTTCAGACTCCAAACAGTCTAATGACGTTTCAAACTCCAAACAATTCGACGACGTTGCAAACCCCAGAAGCTGCTGTTAAGTTTCTAAACGGCGATGAAACGTTCCAGACTTCAAGTCGAGGCTGCGAAACCTTCTCATGGTTTGGCCAAAATTCGCGACTCAAGAGTTCGAAGTACGCAACGTCGTTGAACTGTGTGGAGTTTGAGAAGATCATCAGACTGTTTAGAAGCGACCTTTACTTCGAACGTAACGATGTGAGCACACTTGGCCTGAATCGTTTCGCTTCCTCTCCAGATATTCAACCCTTTGCACTCCACTGATGGTGTTGTGACGACACCGCAAAAATACGTTCAAATTCTGTTCATTTTAGTACAAACAAACCTAACGAATAAAATTAAAATTTTGTAAATCTCATAAACTATTATTAGGAAATCACTACATATATGTTTCAGAACTGACACAGCCAAGATAATCTGAGATTTCTAATAGTTTAATTATACAGGGTGTTGCAAAATAGCTTCGACTCACAGAAACAATGGGATCCTGGGATGATTTAAAAAAATTTTTTCCTTGGCGAAAATGTTATCCGAGGCTTTGTTAACAAGATATTAACGAAAAACTCCGACCAATCAGAGCGCAAGTCTGCCGGCCGAGCTCCGATTGGTCGGGATTTTTCGTTAATATCTCGTTTACAAAGCCTCGGATAACATTTTCGCCAAGGAAAAAATTGTTTCAAATCATCCCAGGAGCCCATTTCTTCTGTGAGTCGATCCACCATATCGTACGCTTCCTCTTTATGGCTTGATCGTCCATAAGTATACAAGGACATATTTGTACCGTACTGTCAAATATAAAAGTTTTCGAAAAAGGCTGCCACGGAGAACATGTCAACAACTTGGCTCCCGATTTTTGGCCCATATAGCTTATGTCGCCGCCCATGATGCAGATCTACCACAATTAACGCCAAAGCGTTAAAGCTTGTAATCATTAGAGCATCAAACGACATAGAGAGCCGGCTCGTTATACCAAGGTATTAGAATAGTTATATTAAGGATCCACATCGTAAAGATATCCTCTTGGTAAAAAATTCCCTCTGTTGAATATGGTCACCGTTCGGGGTGATACTCGTTGATTTTTATAAATAAGAAAGACCACTGAAAACGTACCTAGAGATGTATTCTTCTATTGCCGACTCCTCGACAGGCATCATGGGAATTGGACTATTGGTCGACACCCAGTAAGAACGATCGTTGCGGCTGGCGTAGTGGCAGACGTTGTTCACGTCGCAGAAGAGGAAGGGCATCGTCGAGAACTTTCGTACGCACGAGCCCGCGGAACCTGTTTTCGTGCAATAATTTATTAATCGAGTTGTCAGGTGGATTATTAAGAGGGGAGAGAGGAAAAAAACGGGACTGGGCGTGAATTTCGTGATCTGGCTGGCTGAACGGTAATTAGACTACGAATCTTTATGGAAATGTATTCAATGATATTACGCGAAAGCCAGAATCGAAAAAAAACTGTATGTCATCTGGTAGGAAATATATTACATTGACATCAAAAGACAAACTTTTTCTTTCACTGGAATTTGTTCCGCTAAATTTGCAACTTAATTGATATGTTTGTCTTTTTTTTTCGATCCCATCAATTTGTTTAAACACGCGCTTATCTATATTTTTTCTGCTGATTTCTTTCTCTCCCATTTTTGGTATTTAATACTGTTCCTCTTGTTCTCCTCTCCTGCTAAAGCTATTAAATCACTTCTTAAATATAAACCTAAAGATTACAGTTGGACGTTAAAATTAATATAAATTGAAAATGACCGATCATTCTTTTTAATTTAGTAACTGTCATTCGATTAAAACTCTTCTATTGTAACTGTTGCTTAATTTTCATTTAAACTTTCAACGTTTATGGCGGACGTTATTTCAATTATTCAACCCAGTGATACCAACTTTGTCTTTAATACTTGCCTAGATCCTGCGAATGCGCTCTTTCATCGCCATCCGTGTACAGCAAACTGTATCCTTCCCACAGTTTGATGTGTCCTGGGTCGCAGACAGGTATCGATTGACTCTGACTGTGCTTGACCAACAGTATGCCGGTCAGATAATCGGGCGCAGTCTCGCATGGTTGTCCAGGCTCTCCCACAGGGCCCGGTACACCGATCGGACCTTGAAGGCCTGTCGCGCCAGGCTGACCAACAGGTCCAGGCAGACCTGGAAGACCAGCTGGTCCTAGAGGTCCTGGTGGGCCTGGTTCACCCTTCAGTCCGTCCAATCCTGGGAATCCTGGTGGTCCCGGAAGTCCCTTTTCTCCTGGCGGTCCTGCCCGGCCCGGAGATCCTGTCAAAGACGTCAACAGTTGAGCGAAAATTTGCTATCCCAACATAAGCGTACACAACTAAAATAGAGGACTGCAGACACCTCTCGATTATTGTCCCGAACTCGAGTCCGCGCCCGGACAATAATCTTATAAGGAGAACTGCTTCAGACCCTCGTGAATTTGTTTTTTGCCCGAAGCCCGAGCCTAGGTAAGCGCTTGACAGGTTCCACATCCCCCTTCCCCAATGGCGGGGATAACGCCTGGACAATAAGCGTGTAGAACAAGCCAGACAATCTATTTTGTAACTGATCTATTTCATCAAACTCATAAATATCAAACTTATATTTTCACTACTTTTCCTTCTCGTTTTCTGTATCTAATACTGTCTTTCCTGTTTTTGTAGTTATAATAGAATGTTCGACTGATCATTAATAACAATAATTTCGCAAAAATCTGAGGTCTGGTTATAAACAAATAATACCACTGCACACCATAGCATTCCGGCATAGATAATAATAGTCCTTTTTTTTCAAAAGTATTGATATTTGGGCTTACGTAACTTTCGTGTAATACTGTACATGTATGTGTGTAGTGTTCTTCGGCATTTTCCTCTTACAAATTGCATTTATACGTACCAGGATATCCACGATCTCCTTTCGGTCCCATCGGTGGTTCGATGCAATCATCACCCTTTTCACCCTGTGGACCAGGATACCCAACGCTACCCACTAATCCGACCGCACCAGGGTAACCTCTGTCACCCTTCTCCCCAACAGGTCCAGGCTGACCATTCACACCGTCCCAACCTCTGTCACCTTTTTCACCAGGCGCTCCGTCCAATCCACTTGGTCCTATGAATAGAACGTAAAAAATCCCTCTTCGATAAAGTATACAAACACAGTGGTCACTACTTAACGACATAACACACTGGTCATTACAAAAACAGTTATTTTCAAAATATTGATAATTTTAACGTATTCATTTGACTTTCTTAACGTACGACTTTATTCTTCATGAATAGAAAAGACTAATAAAACTCACTTGAAAGACAAGTTGGAAATTATTAGATTGTTACATGATAAATGGCGTTCTGTAACGCCCTTGACTTCAATTATCTTAAAATCATTGAACATGGGATCGAGAATTCATTTCGATTAAAAATCTCTCAAATTCATGTCGGTCGAAGACATAACGAACACATTATTGACTTTTCTAGTTGTTCTTTGATTTAAAAATTTATAACACTATGACTATTTAATTACTATCAAGTAATATTTTAAGGGTTATGGCGATATTTATTTATATATTAGCCCAATACTTTAGTACAATTAAATATGAGTACTTAAGTATGTATAAATGTTACCTGGGAATCCATGTTCTCCTTTATGTCCAGGTAGACCAGGCAATCCCGATGGTCCCATGTCTCCTTTATCACCTCTTTCGCCTGGCAAGCCTGGCCTTCCTTCAAGACCTGGTGTTCCGTCTCGACCTGGCATACCACTCAGACCAATTGGACCCATGTCACCTTTCTCACCCTGCGGGCCAAGAGGTCCGTAAGGGCCTTGGTCTCCTTTATGTCCTGGTAAACCGGTTAATCCCTGTTCTCCCTTATCACCAGGTCGCCCTGATAGTCCTTCTCGTCCGTGCTTTCCAGGCAAACCTGGCAAACCTTTCTCGCCCTTGATGGTTGATCCGGGAACACCTGGAATTCCAACTGGTCCTTCCTCGCCTGGAACATTTAATTAAATATGTCAATAACAGAATAGGTATTTCTAATAATTAACTAATTAAACTTGATTGCGTTAACAGACCAGTCACAGTAGAAAACCATACCTTTTTCACCGAGAGGACCAGGTGGACCTGGATTTCCAACGGGACCTGGTAAACCTCTATCTCCTTTCTCGCCATCATATCCACCAAGACCTTCTAAACCGCGGTCTCCCTTCTCACCAAACAAACCCTGACGTCCAGGAATACCTGGTTCACCCTTTTCACCTTTAACTTGAATTGTTGGTCCGGGTGGTCCACGATCACCCTTCTCTCCGAGCGAACCAGGAATACCAGGGAAACCAGCAGGGCCTTAATAAAGATACGTATTATAAATCGTTTGTAAATATATTATTGGATAACGAATTTTATGCAAGACAGGCATAACAATATTGTTTGATTCTCCGTTCTTACCAGAAAGACCGCGATCTCCTTTGACACCATTAAGTCCGGGACGTCCTGGCTCTCCCATTTCACCATTCAAACCAGGGAAACCTGCAGGTCCAGGTGTACCAATGCCACCTGGTTCACCGGGTAATCCGTCGATTCCAGGAGTACCTGGTTCACCTGACGCACCTTGTAGCCCCTGTTACATACCATAAACATATATATTAAAATCAAAGTAAAGTATTATTTTCGATGATATGTAATTATTGCTATCAAACATACAAGGTCTCCTTTAAGTCCAGGGAAACCTCTGACACCGGTGTCACCTTTCGGTCCTTGAAGTCCTGGTAAACCATCCCGACCTGGTAGACCAGCTTCTCCTTTCTGGCCAGGTAATCCATCTCGACCAACACAGGGCAGTCCAGCTTCTCCTTTCAAACCATCGAAACCATCCCTACCAGGACTACCCAATGGTATAACAATACAATTCGTTCATATTATATATTTGCACACTAATACTTTTTAAGTGTAACCTTATAGACACAAATAAGATTCAATTTATGACAAAGTGTACTTACGGGCAATCCAGGTGGACCTTCGTCACCTTTAAGTCCTTCGAATCCAGGAGGACCCGGCAAACCAGTAGGACCAGGAGGACCAAAGTCTCCTTTTTGACCCGGTAGTCCTGGGCGACCAGGTTTTCCTTCTACTCCGCGCAATCCAGGAAAACCTGGCGAACCCTTCTCTCCCCGTTCTCCCTTCATTCCAGATGTACCTTCCGCACCAGGTCTACCTGCAGCGCCAGGTAAACCTCGCCTACCAGGATATCCCTTTGGTCCATCTATACCCACTTCACCGCGATCGCCTTTCGAACCTGGGAACCCTGGTAGACCTGCTCTACCAGATTCTCCTGACAATCCCGGCTCACCTGTAGACAATGAATTTCATATAAGTATCTCGGTCAAAGTAATGGATTGGTAACAGGGCCGTTATTAATGGTGAATTTCAATATGTATACCTTTGCCTCCATCGATACCAGGAGTTCCCGCTACACCAGGAGGACCAGGAGGCCCAATTGGACCAGTGTCACCTTTTTCTCCAGGTGCACCTGGTAAACCACTTATTCCAGGAATTCCAAGGTCACCCTTTTCCCCAGCAAATCCAGGCAGACCCGAATAACCGACAGGACCATCCTTTCCTGGTGGTCCTGGAAGACCCTGCTCTCCTTTTTCACCTGGAGGGCCACTTAAGCCGCGGGCGCCCTTCACCGATATACCAGGTTCACCCTTGTCTCCTTTCGGAGCTGGAGCGCCTGGGAATCCTCTAGGTCCCTCGCGGCCAGGTTCACCAGGGAAGCCCATGGGACCCATATTACCCTTATCTCCTCGAGGACCAGGCAACCCTCGTGGTCCAACTGGTCCAGGTGCGCCAATAGCTCCTTGGGGCCCAGGCGGACCCTAATTTCATTAAATTTTATTATTACATTCTTGCATGCAGTAAACATCCTCAGCAGTACTTTATTGACGTCACAACAGATGACGATTAATATTCCACAGAATGAAGCTTAAAAGAAGCTTAAAATAAATAACTTCGTGTCAGTACAAATAATACGGTTCATAAGGAAAAAGTTAAAAGTTAAAATAGCAATTGGCTAGTGATTCCAAATGTTTGGGTGGTATGCATTAGAATACTAGAAACTATTTATATACTAACCGAGAATCCCTGCAGTCCTTTATCACCCTTTGTACCATCTCTGCCGGGTGGTCCAGGCGTTCCTCTTTCACCAGGGAATCCTCTAGAACCCTTGAAACCCTCCGTCAAGTTCAACGGTGGGCATAGACCTATTTGACATAGAAATTATGATATACTTCTCATAGTTTACTTAACAATTGTGTAAGACTGAATCAATATTACTTACCGGGTTCACCTTTAAATCCTTCGAAACCGGGTTCACCTTTGTCGCCACGGTAACCTGGTCGGCCAGGTTCTCCAGGCTCTCCTTTTATACTGAGTCCACTTTCTCCTTTACGTCCCGGAACACCTGACCTGCCAGGAACACCATCTTGCCCAGGGAAACCTCGATCACCCTGCAGAAGCGATCAATATAAAATTGTAGAAACAGTAACATTCATCATGAAAGCTAAATGGTAACACAGTGTTATTACTTACAGCAGTACCCTTCAGACCAGGGAAACCTTCAAATCCAATCGCACCCTTATCCCCAGGTGGACCTATCGGACCTGGTGGACCTGGTCGTCCGATTTCACCCCGTATACCCTTATCCCCCTTTTCCAACTTAAGCGAACTCCATGTAACCTCTGCCGGTTGGCCGGGTTCTCCTTGAGGACCTGGTGTTCCAGGAATACCATCTTTTCCCTATTAACAGAGAACCGTGATTCCGTGAAAGCAATAAGGCGTTCAGTAGATTTTTCACTTTGCATTGTTATTTATGTTACTGAAAACTAAATTTATTCGATGGCATTCATTTGTTATATGCACATTTAAAAGTTTCATAATTATGTCATCTGTGACTATTAGGGCACCATTGAAAAGAATGGCACTGATCAGAGATGCGCGTCATTGTTGGTCAATGTACTAAAAATAATGGAGTAGAGACTCTATTAGAGTTGCACAAAAAGTTCCTCATGAAAATGTCTACTTCATCCCCACCACTGTGGAGGGAAGGCCGTGGAACGTGCCAACTGTATAATTTAGTGCCCTTCCTCCTCTCCCCTCCCGCCGTCTTTATTGCTGAGGGTCGGGCTTCGAGCAAACAATAGATTTATGAGGTGTCGAAACGATTCGCGGTGCACCGTGAAAGTTTTGAAGCAGACACGAGGTTCAAACTCTCATGGAGTCTTTACTGTACATTAAAAAAATTCTTTGAATATTCCACAGTTCATACCGGTGGTCCTGGTGGTCCAAGCGGTCCAGGCAGACCGTCAGAGCCAGGTTCTCCAGGGAATCCCCTTTCTCCAGGCGGTCCTCGTGCTCCCGGAATACCAGGCGTGCCATCGAAACCACGGTCTCCTTTCATGCCTCGTAATCCCGGCAGACAATCCTGACACCGACCTCCTATTTCTCCTTTTTCGCCAAGCGCTCCCGGAGTTCCCGGAATACCATCCCTGCCCGGATTTCCTGGTTCCCCTGGTAAGCCAGATTCACCAGGTAATCCTGGTATCCCATCTAAAGAGTCTCCTGGAAAACCACGTGCGCCAGAGTATCCACGTTCTCCCTTTTGCCCCTTCTCGCCGTCTAGACCAGGTGAACCATCCATTCCTTTCGGTCCCTGCATAACGGTTCCATAATATTTGAAATTTTTGAATTGACCGTTGAAAAACGGGAAGTGAATGATATTTAGATTGTTTAATGTTCGAGCTTATACTAACCATAATCGATAATCCCTTTTCACCTGCCACACCCCGTGGACCCGGAGAACCCGGAGGACCATCGAAACCACGAAGTCCTATCTGTCCTGGGAATCCTGTAATTCCAGGCTCTCCCTTCGTTCCCTTTTCTCCTGGCAAACCTTCCGGGCCAGGAATACCCGGTGAACCGGGACCTCCTGTCATGCCGATTGGACCTCTTGGTCCTGGATCACCTGGATATCCATCCGCACCTCGAGCACCAGTTGGACCTGGGAACCCTTGGGGTCCTTTCGGTCCAGGCGGGCCTGGTGTACCTTTGCCGCCCTAAACAAGCAACCAATGTAATGTCTTTAGTCATACTAAAATTCTAGTAAAATTAATAGATTTTTATTGTACGACTACTTTAAGGACAATTGGTTAATTTGTTTAAGTACATCAGAAAAATAGAACTCGTTGTAAAACCATAACAAAGGACCATAAATCACGATCAAAAGTATTCTTAACACTAATTTCTGAGACAGGTCAATGTTGACCCTTTTCTATGCAATACTGTTTTACTATAAATAACTAGTAACTCCGAGGTACTTACTTTTGTTGTGCTAATTATGATACGCATGAGTGCTGCTCCTCCAATAAAGATTTGTAGACGGTTATAATTTAAATTTTATTCACTAATTTTATTAAAATTGCAATAAGTAAAATGTGCACCTTGCGACGATGTATATCACAGTAGCAATGCAAAGACTTAAATAACGATTTTAAATAAATTTTCAAATGAAACTCACTCCTGGTGGACCTGGAGGTCCTCGTAGACCAGGAACTCCCATCGGTCCGTCACGTCCCGGTTCACCTTTCGTGCCAGGATGACCGCCTAATCCATCTAAGCCGTCGTAGCCTCGATCACCTTTGCGACCAGGTGGTCCCGGAGGACCAGAGAAACCGTCTCTACCCTAGACACAATAAAAATCACCAGTAATTTATGTTATGCCACATATTCGTATTATTTAACAAATTTCGATGAACTTACTCGAATACCTGGAGCTCCAGGCAGACCTTTCTCTCCCTTCAAGCCGAAACCACCAGGTAAACCATGATCACCGCTAGGACCACGATCACCTTTTGGCCCATCATATCCCATATCACCCTATATGGAAATAATTAATTGATGCAGACAGTTGTGGAAAAGCATGAGTACTCGGTGTTAGAGGACATACCTTATCTCCCTTTTCTCCATAATCACCCGGTGGTCCCGAAATTTCCGTCACACCTCCGAACGGTACCTCAGGGGGAGGTGTGCCAGGAGGCCCGTGTTCACCTTTTTGACCTTTGTCACCTTTCAGACCCTCGAATCCAAGACCCATGTTTCCTTTTGATCCTTTGGTACCCGGTCCCCCAGGCGTGCCCTAATCAATAAAATGTGATTTTCGAGTTATTACTATGAGAAAGTTGCAAAAATACCAATCATCAAAAGTTTAATCTATTGAATTTATAAGTTTTTTGGCAGGGAACACGTGGTGTTTCTAAAAATATACTGCCCTGGGGAAGATAGCGATTGTAGAACGATGACACTTACATAAGGACCACGTTCACCCTTTGATCCAGTCAGTCCACGTTCTCCTTGAAGTCCTGGTGGTCCAGGAGGCCCTCTCACACCGTCGATGCCAGGCTCACCTTTCTGACCAACGGGGAACATTCCAGCAAACGCCGGTTGACCTTTCTCTCCCTTTGGACCCGGTGTTCCCCGAAAACCAGGGGGACCAGGATCTCCAGGAATACCATGGAGACCGGGTTCACCCTAAAGGATAAAATAACATAAATTCAATTTTTGCATAAAAATAGAAACGGTCAAACTACTATTGTCCTGCATCATGTATTTACTTATTCTATGTTGCAAAAAGTGAATCCAGTAAATGGAACCATTTGTTTTGATAATTCCATCCAGCATAATCTGTTTTAAATGAATACTGTAATTAATAAGCACTCTAGTGGTTTCCAAGATTTTAGGATCACTTCAAATAGTCTCTTTAATGGAAATTTTCTTTCTAAAAATGTAAACGGTATTCCGTCACTTAAATACCAGCAGTTTCAATTAAATTTATGGAAATAGTTCATAGAGTATATTTAAGGAGTAAAGTTCAATATTCTTTTTAGACAGGTCACTTTGATATTTATAATAATGCAAATATAAAAGGAATTTTACAGTGCATCCTGCACGGAAATATTAATATTTCACATGACTAGAATCTCACGAAATTATCATATAATAAAAGAGTATAGTGTAAGAAACAAGTCAATTGATTCTCTGTTTTATTACAGCTGCTTCAGTGGATACTTATGCAATTTCCATTATTATAGTTCACATTACAAGAATAGAAATCAAAGAAATGGTTATTTCATTGTTAAAAGGTTTCCGTGAGCTAACATATCGATAAAAAAGTTAGTAACATTTAAAGTGTCTGCTTCGGTGTGTCCATCACATTGAATCAAGTCCTAAATAACTTCCGTCGCGAGTAAAGAAAATAAATTTTTTCAAAAGAATCCATGTTACATAACTGACGATACATGAAACCGGTTCATCGATAATAATGCAAAAGGCTTTACACATTAATGTGAAATGCAAAATTATTTACGAGAGGAAGAAGTTTGGAAATGAACAGCGGAAGATATTTATGACTCGACTGAATATTTCAAAACAATTTACGTACGTCCGTTCCGTTGCAACCGTCTCGACCAGAAAGACCAGATGCTCCAGGTGGACCTTGCACTCCAGGAACACCGTTTATACCAGGGAATCCAGGCATGCCCATTTTTCCCTATGGGATGAACGATGCAATTAGAGCGATTGCGAGCAGCAAATCATGTCGATTGTTTTAACGCGTGCACGACGGTACGTACTCTATCACCTTTCGACCCGCGCGACCCCTGTGGGCCAGGATCACCTTTCTCTCCTTTCGGACCCAGGAGACCTTCTGTGCCCGGAAATCCTCTTTGACCCTTGGGACCCTGTGGCCCCATTACACCTGGTGATCCCTGTGGACAAACATCAGAGTTGGATTAATTATTCCATATCGTAAAGTTTGAACAAGTACATTTATTAACTCGATGAAGGGATACGTTAAATATGGACTTTTATTCCACTGAAATTAATATAAAAAATTTTGTCTTCTACGCGTGCCAGTAGACGCTAGCTGGTTCGAATATCTGCCTATTACTGGATGTTTAAGTTAACGTTTATAGGTATTGTCACTGGAGCAGCGTTACCTTGTTCGTTTTTGTAGTAATTTCATATAAACTGATAGTGGGGAGACAGTGAGATAGATGGAGCACAGTTAATACTGTACTATGATCAATGCTTAGTACAAGTAGAAGTACTTAATAATAGTCAGACGCAGTACCAGACGCTATTTCTCGGTAAATTTTGATTCAAATACTGTGTAATAAATAACAAATGAAATTGAGATTTCAATTTTGGATATAATAACAACAAAACCTTTTATTTAATCGGAATTTATTTCAATAATTCTGGAAATAATTTATTTATAATTTCTTATTGATAAATAGAGGATTATTTTTCATTTAGTGTTTATTCAGTTTCTGGTTTTCCCTTGTTTCCTGTATTTTCAACAATCCTGCACAAATAAATATGAGATGTCTCGGTTCGGGCCGTATAACCGAGCAGGAGATAATTATATAATGATTCTGTAAGAAAAAATAAATCGAAGAAAAAGCATACATTTTTTCGTTTGTGGTTTCGCTTTCGAAATAATCGAACTTGAAAACTTGCTGAATACACGGTTAGTAGAATGTAATTCGGCTAACGCGTCTGTTCGTTGCAGGCCGTTTCTACTTATAGCAAGCACAAATACACGCGTTTCACATGAATGTTCAAATGCAATTTCCTCGAGAACAAAACCTCAAACGAAAAAAATTTATTCTATTTTTCCGACTTATTTGTTCTTATTTAATCACCAGTTACCCGGTTGTACTACCTGACCTGAGACATCCTGTACAATATCATTCCTTTTCATAAATTTTTTTTACTAAAGATACAGCAAAATGGTCTAATACAATCCATTATATTAAAAATGATAAAAAGGACTTAGAACGAAATAATTTTTACGTAAATTTTTCGTAAGAAAATTGGACTTAATACATTCTGGCTCTGGGGTGCAGATTTACAGGTTGTAACAAAAATGTTGCAGGTCCCTGAAATGGGACACTCGTGAGGCGATTCGGAACAAGTCTCTCCTTAGCAAAAATGTTATCCGAGGATTTGTTAACGAAATATTAACGAAAAACCCTAACCAATCAGAGCGTGAGTCTGCTGGCAATGTTCCAGCGGTGACGTTGTCTACCAATCACAGCGCGTAGCCAACATTACCGCGGAAAGTCGAACAGCAAGCTAACACTCCGATCGGTCGGGGTTTTTCGTTAATGTACCATTAACAAAGCCTCGGATAACATTTTCGCTAAGGAAAAACTTGTTCCAAATCGCCTCACGAGTGTCCTATTCCAGGGACCTGCAACATTTTTGCTACCCCTTTATATACATAAATATTTAACCAAAAGGACCACTTTTTCAGTGAAAAAATAGCAGTCTAAAATTTAAATGTTAATGAATACTCACTCTGGATCCTTTCTCCGCGAAACATTTCGGAACGCAGCAAGCCGAACCGGTGCAATTCCGCGGGGGTGTTCGTCCTGGAATCGGTACGGCTGAATAACTGCTCGGATAGTTCTCCGAGCTTCCAGCCGCCCCGTATCCTCCTTGACCTTGGGAGTGTCCTGTGTTGTAACCAGTCGATCCACGTTCGTTCTCCGAACTTCTGGCTGCCCCGTATCCTCCTTGACCTTGCGAGTGTCCTGTGTTGTAACCAGTCGATCCACGCCCGTAAGGATCAGCACGGCCGTAACCATCCCCGGAACTAGGATTTTCGCCGTAGCCATAAGGATCTCTAGAGCCGTCTCGCCCGACTCCGGCCCCTCTACCGTAAGTATCATCATAACCTCGTGATCTTCCGTGAGGATCGCCGGTTCTTTGATTGTAAGGATCCAAGGAGCCTTGGCCCTCATTGTAGGGTCCTTGATCATCCTCACCTTGGCAAAGAGGAAAAATTAACTGTCGCATCGAGCGAATGAACTACGAAACGGGAGACTAATAGAGGTAATTTATTAGGTCCTATTGTACAGGGTGTTCGATAACGGGTGTCAGGACATTTAGGGGGTCCATTCTACGTGCCAAAATTCAACGAAAATTAAAGGGAACAAAATTGCGGTTGGGTTTTCGTTTTTTTTTTTTTATTTTTTGAGTGAACGTTCTCAAGCATTCTGCAGATGTTCATGCAACAGTAGAGTTCTGTTTACACGTTCAGATAATTTTCCCAAACTGACTTATGCATTACATGTTCAATCTCTTGGAGAGTTAGTAAAGTTCTTTTGTCTATTTAATAAGAATATTGTACTGTATAAATTTTACTATTACAAATATAAAAAGAAGATATCCATCTGTAGCTAAAACTAATTTCAACTTATGTTTTTTTTTCAAAGTTGGATTTACTCCACTCTTTAAAAGAAACGGCACAATTGTCTACTAGAGGACAATACAAAAAGTCTGCTGCACTCGAGTGACGAACAGATTATACAATTTTTTATCTTGACTTTGTAATATTGTTATTGTGGGAGAGTGATTCGAGTATTGGTTCTGTGGTCTTTCCTCGACGGTATCACCGCAAAAGTTGCAACTACGTAAATTTTCTATCCCCTTGGATTAAAATTTTCTATTAGCCCATTAAATTTTATGAAATATCATAAACTTGCGCGCGCGCATAACTGGCGGTGCTATCGATTAATAGGAAACTATTACACAACACTGTAAAGGCAAAAGATAAATGATCTCATTAATTAGCAAGCTGAAGTCGGATCCGTAAATCTCGCGATATTGCGGTGAGGCTATTACAGCAAAAAGGAGATAAACGTATTTCCTTGACAATATATTAATGACTGATACCATAAATACTGCGGCGACCCATGTGTATAACGAAAACCCGAATAAATCGTTTGATTTTCCCGCCTATGTGCTATTTGTACCGGTCAATATAAATTTTCCGTGTGTATATTTCAATTAATAATACGCTAATCCTTTCGATCGTTCCCAAAATCAAATTTCTTTCATGAAATATGAAAAATGTTTAACAAAGAAAATTATCCAGAGCTTAATTTAAACTCTGCTGTTTGTTTGTCTGGGGGTTTAATAACAAATTACAAAGTTCACCTGAACCTCACCCATTATACACATCTACAATATCCTTCTTACTATTTCGTATTTCATTTGTAAGTCGAATTGTTGTTGTTAGTACACAGTATATATTTTCAGAAAGAATGTGTAAGTATACTGCTCAATATTTGAATTACCAAATAATGAAGAGCTATCGTGATGTCTATTGTAACCGGCGTCAGAGTTTCGGTGGTCAGCGTAAGGATCTCCGTTCCGCCTATCTTCTTCGGAATCTATGAATTCACAAAAAGGAAATATAATAAAATCTGCAATGCTTGAAACCTTTGTAAATACTACTTAAGATCAATTGATCATCAGTTAAGATTATTGAGCTAAATCACAAGTGATCTCCATTTTTCTTTTTCAAATTTCTTTCGAAGTAATTTATTTATTTAAATTAAAAAATTATTAACGAACTTGTGAATTTTCTAATTAAAGAACAAAATTTAAGATTCATTTCATTTTTTTCATACGTGGTTCTCGACCCGACAGAACAATTTGTGGAAAGAAAAAATAAAGACAACCTTTTACAAATTCCAAAACTGATCTTTTATCTAATTTTCAATAACATTTTTTATCAAACAGTTTGAGTAGAATTTTTGTATAATTCTAAGCATAGTAACAGTCATAGTATTCTGTGAATGAATTATGTTATCAATTACATTAGATGAGATCCAGAGGAGATTAATCATTTCCACTACCAATATATTTGCAACTTATTTTGCACAATTTAATTTGTCTGCTTACGAATTGTGCATCTTTAATGCCGTAATTACCTTCGTCGTGGGATAGGAAAGGTTTCCATCGTGGTGGAAGGTCTTCGTCGTCGGTAGTGTTTGGTTTTCCGATGTCACCACGTCCAAGTGGTACCACAGACTGAGGATTATTCGACCATGTGTGATTGTATTGCTGAAATGAAGAAAAAAAAACAAATTACAATTTCTTTGCATGTAGTCGCAATGAAATGACAAAATGTATGTTATCCTAATAATTTTTCGTTATAAAATATTCATACTTTACATTTTTACACTTATAAAGTACATATGTACTAATTTTGTACGAATGAATATCTACTTAATCAGTAATCGGTATAAAAACGTGCACAGAATATATCGACTGAGATCTAGATCTCGTGTGAAGCTTATTGAAAGGATCTATACACTGTTTTACCGACATCGACTGACGTAAAGTTGCCATCCGAGTTTAGACAGAAGAGAAAACTTTCAAACACCTATAATATTTACTCTCGACAATAAATTCCTAATAAGATTACAGAGTGTAGTACCACTTAATTAATGTTTAGTCAACGAAAAATTAAAAATATTTTTAAAAAATTTCCATTATTATTCTAAAATAATTATATAAAGTGTATTTATTAAGAATATAATTAAACGGATTACTTTTAATTATATTATTCTCAACAATGGATATTTAATTTTTAAATATATGTATCTTTTTAATACAAATTATCTTTTTTCAATTGAACACTGTTAAACGTTAAAATGCAAACTAATATACCGTAAAATATTACTTTTTAACTTAGAATAATTATTTTGTGTTCAACATTGAATAGAAAACTTTGATTTCTATTCAACGAAGGAGAATTTCTATTTGACACTTCTCCATGTTTAATCAGAAGAATGTACATATTAAGTATTCACGTTGATACTAAAGAGCACGTCTAAGCGTATGTATCAAATGCATGGGTACAGACATTAAAGCTGTTTTCAAACGGATCTTCTTACTCCATAATACATCTTAGGTTGCATTAACGACCGATAAGTTATCACGCCTATGCGTCCTCTAGGACAGACCATGGCTCATCCTTAACCCGTGAAATTTGGAGGTTCTACCTTTTCCGCACAATTCTGTTACGAATTTATGTGTAACGTATCATTATTAATTTATAGAATAAGCACTAGGAAATTTGAAACATATAGCAATTAAAAGTGATTATTTCAATAAATTCGATGCATAATACTAAATTGATTTGTTATCCCGTTTTTATAATTTATTAATAAGTAATGCGATTAGTACTGTATTGTTGTAACGTTTATAAATTTTAATGAGCCCATCAATTTCTCTCAAATTTGTTGAAAACAAATTTTCATATTTTGATATTGATAAATACTGTTCATCTTGTAAACGACAGCCGAAGTTATTTCGCAGTGTCCGATTTAACAAGTAGATACTCTGAATTTCGTTATGTTGTATGAAAAGTGTTGTTCCGAGGTATTGTTTGAGTGTTTGTGATTCCATCATCTATTTACCAAACATTTTTTCAACTCTCCTGACAACAAAGTTTTTTTCTATTCATAGAGTCCGATTTTATAAGAATTCAAAATTTCCTAATGTTTAAGCAAAGTGTAGTTGTGGAAGTGTTGTTTCAGTTATTGTGATTCCATCATCCCATTCACCAACAATTCCATCAATTCTCCTCAGACCATGAGCCTTTCTTTATTCATAGAGCTTGATTTTATAAAAATTCCGAATTCCTTAATATTCTAAGCAAAGTGTACTTGTTGAAATATTATTTGAGTGTTTGTGATTCCATCATCAATTCACCTGCAATTTCATCAACACTCCTAATAACAGACTCTTTCTGTATTCATAATAGCTTCTGTATTCATCATGGCTAGCTACCTCCGTCTCTCTGATCTAGCCCCTATTCGACGTCCGGCGAGTACGACACACAGATTGGCTCGACTGGACCGATGCGTCATCGCGTTCGCAGAAAGTCATTGTCTTGCCCTCGTTTTCACGTTTTATCCTTTTTACGTTTCGGGATTGCACGCACTGACAGGAAACGCGGGGAGATAGCCAGCTCGTTATCGTCTCGAAATGACGCGCCGCTGTTCTGTTTCTCTGTGATTCCATTCTGGCCGGTCCATTCCGCGGACATTCTGGCCACGATCTACGATCCACGGAGCGGGTCGATTTTTTCCCACCAAATTATTGAATGAAAGCACTGTCCAACCGAAGGATAATCTTTTTAACCGACTCGGGTCAATACGAACGCGATTAACCTGGTAATTGAGGAAGACGAATTAACTCGTCGTTCGTGTTTGACTATACCTTAGAATAATTTTTTATTTTTCTATGGATTTACCTACTGAATGTTTCATTTCATCATATCGAAATATTTATATTAGTACAAATTGTATCTTACTTATGTTTGCTGCGGAGCAAAGTGCATCAGATTCAATAAGATTTTAATTAATTAGTTTATACGTAGACTACGGATTTTGTGTATTTAATTTAATTTAGTTTAATAAGACCTTCACTGTACTTTGTATTCCTCGAAATATCTTAACAGAGAAAATTATTTTTTGTTTAGCTACTTGCTGTTATGGAATAACTTAGCTGTATCCGATTTTACATAAAGATCCGTAATCTACATATATCACAGTATCGCAAAATTTGAAATATGACTTGCTTCGTAGGAATAATATTATTTCAGGAACAAAAATATTTTCATTGCGTTCGCTGCATTTTCTGCAAGGACATTAGTAATTAACGATACAATAAGCTCTGCAAGAAATTAAGTGGAATATGTATAAGTTTCTTAAAAACTGATTCCTTGGAATCAACTGAAAAATTGAACATAGAAAATTAAAATAACAGGAACATTAATGGTTAACGTTTAAATCGTTTTCGTATAGGTAGCAAGCACTAGATTTCTATTAAAGCTCCAATTATATCTTATTTGTATAATGCTTTCAGTAGATAATACTGTATTGTAATAACATCGAGTTGCATCGGAGAATGTTAACTGGTCATTATCGTTTGTTATTAATAGATTGCGGATACTTATGCAAGTGCTCATTTTTATAGAACAGAGAATGACGTGAAAGAATAATTGATTCTGTCAATCGAAGCGTTTATTAATTTAAAAAAAATTACAATATGCTGCACTGTAACTTTTTTCACTAATTACAGATTCACATACGCCATACTGCATTTATAACAAAACTGAACAAAATGAAATACTTAGGTACTGAAGATTTAGCGGAACTTTTGCTTCTGTTTGATTAAATAAATTCTATTTTTATTTTAATTAAATTTGCAGAGTATTTTCGAACAAATTTTCACACGGATATTCACAGTTTATAACCAACATCGTGTCTTATGACAATCGATCGTCGCTAGATCATCGAATGTCGATCGATTCTTTTTCTAGTTTCCACCGCGAATTCTTGAAGCTAGCTGATAACACGATAATTTCCAACGACCTCGCGGCGAAACAGATTTACTGACATCACTGCTGCAAATATGCGCGAGATTACACTTCCTTAATTCAGCCGAGCAGAAATATGACCTTTGCACGAATGTTTCGGATCGTCAATGAAAAAGATCTCTCGCGCTACGTTGATAATGCGCTTCTAAATATTACTGTAAACAATATGTTTCAAAATTCTATTTCGAACACTTTCCAATCGAAAGTGACGAAGAAATTTATCGCACAATTTTGTCAATCAAAAACTGAAGATATCTTAAGTGGACTATTTTAAAGCAACTCCACTTGACGCATTAGAACATTTCTGCTACCAAACTCATCAAATACAGACACAAGTATTCTCACTTTCAGAAGATGTCTACTTTACACACCCGATATAATGAGTTTCATGAGCTATTTAATTTTCACATGTACTCATTACGATAGCTCCTGCCGATAACCTTTGAATTGAATACTCTCGCCCAAATTGCAGTCTAAAAAAATGTTTTCGTGCACTAATGACTTATCACCAATTATTAACATTATTTTCAATGTAATCCGGAGTAAAAAATATTTATTTCCGACCATTTTTAAAAAATTTAACTCTTTAGTAGCTCGGTGGAAATAATTTTTAACTTTTAATGTTACACCAAAGACGGTATTGTCAATTACTGTCATTGTAAATTATCGAATTACAGAACAATGCATTTTAAGAATAGGTAGTGCACCTACGTAATTGTTAGAATTGATTAGTAATAGACTGCACAGTAAAAGATTTTTGAAAGATGAGCATAAAAACTTTCCTTTCGACCTAACGAAACCTTAAATAAAGAAAAGAAATCTCTGAAATATTTACAATTCGATAAAATATCCTTCAAAATCTGAATCTGCATAAATATCCGGAGTCCAATAATAAATAAATTACACATTTGATGCACCTACAACGTGCACGCCCATTAAAAACTCATTGTTTAACAGAAATTAATGTGCTTTTCCATTTGAAAAATTTTTGGTTTTTCTTCATGGACCCCAATTTTCACGAACTAATCAAAAAAGTCTACGTTCACCTAAATATCCACCAACCCTGCTATTTAAATTTCATGTCCACCTTCTGTGTATTTTCCAATTTTTCAAGGACAAATCGTTTCCCAAAACTAAAACAATTTTATTCTAACAAAATACAAGTGTGAAGTACAAGTGAGGAGAACACAAGGATTAATGAATAGAACTCCAAGTAATCGCCATAATACCTCAAAATTAAAATGTTAAATATTCCACTGATTCAATAAACATGCTCGTATTCAAGGTACTATCCACATAACGAACCGCAGTCTAATTACGAACAATTTCTCCTCCAAGGCAGTCGGTATTCCACGCCTAGCCGGATGATGTGTCCGCGACAATTTCGTTCAACGAAGTCGGTCTAATTTTCTTATTTCAGATAGGGAGATATCTTTTCGCGACGGTTCAAGAATTGTCCTTTTTATCGCGGCATGCTCCGTGGCCGCCTTCGTAAATTCGCGTGTTACATAACCAACGACATCCGCGTAATCTTCTTGGATTTCGTTCGATCCTTCTTGCGGATCCTCTCGCCGCCCAATGTACCATCCACTTTCTTCGTCTTCTCTTTCGTTTCCTGTCGTATTCGTTTTGCGTTCGTCGCTCGCTGCCGAACCCACCACCGGTCTTTTCT